CTCTCTCTCTCGCAAATGCATCAGATCGGCTAATCCGTGCACCGAAAATTTCCTCTTCTAATCCCGCCGTTACGAATGCGCGCCATTTTGTTACACTTCACTTGGCCGTTCGTCGTCGATCGGGATTTGAAATTTCCCGCCTAAACCTCTGTTCGATGTATCGCAGTTCTGATTTCGTCGCTTGCTCACGGCAGGAATGATTCCACGATCACTAACTATCGCTAAGATCGATGTCTTTGTGTTCAAACATTGCAGAAAATAGTTTATATTTCAATTACGGCCATTAATCGAAAATTGGGCTAAAGTACCATTTTCACAAAGGCACTGTTCCGAACTACAAATCATAGAATATCCCAAAGCATCGAACTTACAATATAAACTCTACGTGTTTGTAGTATCTAACGTCAGGATTAATTTCAAGTTGCTCCGTTTCCAACCCTAACCTAACATCCTACTGCGCCACTAACGTTCTCCCAAGATTGGAGAATTCGATGCAAACGGTACGCGTCTGAAACGTGCGCGCGTATTCAGACGAAGGAAGATTCTCCTGCGCGACACTATCTTCTTCCAAAGCATAGAGGGGATGAAAGAGCACGCGCGCCCCACCAGCGCGCTACTTCCCGTGGATCAAAGTTAGTCGCATGTGAGCTCGGTAGGCGTGGCCTCCAGGTAGCCGGAGACGCGCAGGTGAGAAGAGAGAAACCCGAGCAGGTAAAGCAGCCGAGCCACGGGCAGACTGCGACGCGCGTTCCACGCGAGACCGTGCGTGTGCCCTCCTCGGCCAGACCGGGGTCAGTCAGGGTCCTGCTGTTAGTCAGGACACTACGAGAGCATCTCCCTGAGGATCGCCGAACGGACAGCTGTCTGGCTACCTGTGTACTACTCTACTGTACCAGTCTGATTCCTGGCTGCTTGCTCGTTCTTGTTACTTCGTCGTTCTTGTCAATCGGGAGGGTGGGAGCAACCCACGGGAACTGTGGCGACTCCCAGTGGAATGGGAGAGTGTCGAAATTACGTGATCTAGAGAAAGTGTCTCCCGTCTTTTAACAATTGGTCGCGAGACATCGAACTGAATTTGACCTTGGACCGAGCCCGAGCCGGGGACCAAGCGTGACCTTGGCGTCGACCACGTGGAGGATCGGCAGAACGAACGAATGGAAAAACTCTGCACGCGTACTACTCGGCTACTGTCCGTGGGATTGATGTCGATTGTGTAGATCGTTTGTGATCGTTGCTGGATCTAGTGCCAAATAAAAGGGGACTACGATTTACTGTTCGCCTTCATGAACGGTCGGAAAACGTAGACGGGGACTAATCGATCGACCAACTGGACACAATGTGCGGTGAGTTTCTTCCTATCTCTCTGCCTCTTTCCTCTTTCTTTCGCGTGATTCACGCCTTGACGGGATTGACGGCTTGACGCTGAGAAAATAAATTTCACCTACAGTGGGATTTATAACCACTTTGTGTTATTTCTGGCGTCTAGTGTTTGGATGGAAATTTATGGTAAACGCATCACTCGGAAGCTAATTTGATACATGAAAATATGTGTAAACGTTTCCTTTGTGATACTGAATTCTGCACTTTTAGGAATATACTGGTAGAATGATTATATATAGGTAGATAAAATTATGTCGTCTTTTTAATACAGGGGATATGAGATTGTCCTTTGTATTTTGTCTGGTCTGAGAAGAGAAGACATGGATTTATAAAGAAAGATTATGTATTCCATGAAGTCGAGATTTACTCAGATTACTTATCACTTCGTGGCAGAAAATTAATTTTTGACGGTGGAGAAATAGTTCGACAAGTTTGTAGTTTGTCTTTTAACTGGTTGCTTTTTTAATTGACAAAAAAGTAAGACCAATTTCGAAATTTCAGAGCTATCCTTCCATTTTATGAAAATCATAGAGAAGATGTAACCAGAAACAGTTCGTCATTAATTATAACAGTATGTAAATTCTGAAATGAAAAAAATGTTCGTTACCATGAAACACGTAGAAGATAGATACTCAAACTTTCAAGCTGCTCAAAAATATTCATATTGCCATGACATCGCATATCAATGGCAAAATTAAATATTTGTACAGATTTCCAATGCCATAATTCAAGTTCACATTTATCTTTTGTCTTTCCGTTACATCTTTCTGTTGTTACAAAAATATTGTCACAGTTAATTGAAAAAGTAGAGATTTTCATGGAATAATTCGCAGCATTTAGAAATCGTGGGATTTCGGTAGAAGATTTTACGGAAAATAGCGTCATGATTCATTGGACAAATAGACCTTGTCACACGTTTACCTTTCGTTCGAATAAATTCAGTTTCACTCTGTTCGAGGAAAGAATATCAAGTGTTTGTACAATCTGTCTAGCAATAGAACGTACGTTAGATTTTTAGTGGACAGCTGTTCTTACCAATTAGATTAAGAATCTCTTAGTCTGCGTGGCCCCAGAAACGTTCATTAAAAGGAACAGCCAAAAAGGCTGACGATCGTCGTGACGTTTATGCGGACACTTGTTCATACGTATTTTAATGAACTACAAATCCGGCGACCCGATTCTGATCACGTTCGAGATTTCCCGTGAATCACCCTTCGAGTTATTTTTCGGGTAATTAGTTGGCAAACAATGAATATTCAAGTCGATCCGTCATTCATCGTCTCGTCCATTTCAAGTTACTTTAAACGCAATACACATCCCCTAGAAAAAGTTGTACTATTGGAGCACTTTTCAAAAATTATATTTATGTTCGTGGTCCCTCACTTGTGATAATTAAATAAAAAGCATAAGTATTATATTGCTCGGCAAAAGTTACAGGCACTCGAAAGTTATTCAATGAAAATTATAAAATCAAAAACGTGTTCTCTTCTCTTCGAAGCCTCGGAATATTTCTTTCCTTCAGAATTCGAGTCTTACAATTGACCTATTCAGTCATAATTGGCCGAGAGTTTAAAGTATATTCGTATACAATTGTTTTTTTCTTCTTTTTTCTTCTTTTTTTCATACGATAATATGCAAGCATTTCAAAGCTGACTCGTAAGTAGATAATGGTCGGTGATTGACATCGAACTCGGACATTATCGTTCGTTATCTATGCAAAACAGGAACCACTCACACAGTCATGTTTGCAAATCGCATTACAGATTTATTCAAACAAACGAGGCGCGATTATTGTGACTCGGCGTACGTACATGTATACGTTATCTATTACTTAAAGACCTTCGACTTTAACGATTCACATTTTTTTGCATGTCCTCATATCACTTTTGTGCCTTTTAAACAAACCTCGAAACGAGACGTTCAAATAGCTGTTAAATTAGGGGAGTATTTCATCAATGCACTCGCATTCCTGATAATTGACGTATTTCTCAACTGGAATATTAATCGCGAATCGACGATGCTAGTTTATAAAAGATTATTAAATAGATCCTGTTACGCCTTGTTTCGCTCATTTTCTTATTGTTGTTCTCTTATTTCGAAGCAAATGTGCGCGAAAGAATTCCATTGGATATCGAATTTCGAGGAGTTCGATTAAGAATAAATTCACGTCTACAAATTGTATCCACAACTTTGAGATTTTGCCTTGATTTTGTCTGACTCGGAGATTCTATTCGTCGGAAAGTTACTGAAATTATAGTTTATTTTGCGGTTCTTTTTCTATCGAACCAGAATACAAAATTTCTACATACCAAATGCTACTAGAGAATTCATCGAACGTTAAAAACATTCAACGTGTAGCAGAACGATATTGAACAGAAACAACTGACGATGACCCTTCCTTCATGAAAGAGCAGGTAATTTTCTTTAACGTCCTTATAAATATCCAAGATCAGATTACCGTGAAATATTAATATTACGAACGAGATAGGAAACGGTTGGAAAATTACCAGAGACGGTTGAAAACTTTTAAAGTTGAAAATCGCGAACGTTGATAAAACGTGTGGCACGCTCTGTTTACCGTGTGTAGAGAACTGTATTCGTACGATATCGAAGTCGCGGTGCAACGGTGTTTTCACTCTGTTTTTTCGATTTTTTTAAAGCTTTTAAAAGGATAGAGACGATGAACAGATGAGATCTCATTGATTGCTTGCTTATCGGAGTTGGTCGCGAATAAAGTTCGTCCGGCAATCACGCCCGTTTCAGCCTACGATCAGATTAGAAGTTCTGTCTCCCGGATGGACACGCGCACGCATGTTCTACGATGTATAATTCATGCTCCTCGTTCGAGGGAGGAGCATGCTTGTGATTTTCCTTATAAATCTGATATAGCCGTGGCTACCTATGACCCGCGACAATAATGCATTAACTCGGCTCGCTTTTAAATGTAATAAAAATCCACGTTAGAGGCGGAAGGCGCGCCATTTTCTCCGATATTCAACAAAAATGGAATGCTCTCAGTCATCAAGTGGCTTGCTCACTGTAAATTATATTTCTAC